CACTATCTAGGTTAAAATAGACAATGCCGACACACATTTCTGTCTAACTAGCTGAGTTAGTATACTCGGAACATGAATTAATTCTGTGTGTTCTGCCTATCTTGCGGCTCTATAATGACGACGTGCGTAGCTTCTGTTAGTATAATTGCCTCTGCAAATGCTATTAAAGCTACTATAATCTAAGGCCTATCTAGATCCCTCTATTTAGCAAGCTTAAGGTTAATTTCGTGCTGTGTTATATCTCTCTGCATAACTAAGATGCTCTCGTCACTAAACTTCTCTCTTAAGCCTAGCTACGTTACTGCCTGTACGATTAGTTTATACGACTCTATAAGGATTTTAGCGCAGACTTCCTTTAGCGGTAGTAGTGTATTAGCTGCTTTCGCTGCATCTTCTGCTGCAATGCTCTATGTCCGGCTTAGCGTTCCTAGAATTTTAACCTTAGAGCATAAATTTGATAGGTTTTAAAACTTCAGGCTGCTTTTAGTTATAGCACGCGCCTCTCGTACTAGGAAATAGTCCTTGCTTAGGTTAGTAAAGAGGTTCTTTACGCTATTTAACGTAAAGCGTTTAACTTTGCAGCTGCTGTATGTTTTAAACTGTGCTGCCTTTAGACGTATGCAAGCGCAGAGTAGAATGCTATCGCCTGCATCTCAAAGCAGTTAAAGATTACACGTCTGCTAGCTTCTGATTTATTAAGGCCTTCTTTTTCTAGGATATCTCTGCATTGTTGCTCAGCGTTTTGTACTGTGCTGAGGAAATCTAAATATAGGCAGCTTTAGAAGTAAGGCAGGAAGTCGCTCTTAATGCCGGATATTAGTTTGCCCTATGGGTCGCGCGTCTTTAATGTTCTTTTTAACATAAACCTCTGCGCTACTGCTGCTCCTTAAGATATAAGTTCTTTATACTCATAAGACGACTTATATTCGCTTGCGTCGTGCTTTACATTAGCAATCATATTGCGCTATTGTTTAGCTATTGCTAGGCTATTAAGAGCTGTGTTTTAGCGAGTCCTGTAAGATAGTGTCTCTGCAATCAACTAGTAGACTGCATCTTCTATCTTATAGATGCGATCGCTAGTTACAGAGTCTCTCTTATTAGTAGCGTTAAACTAGTTAGAGACCCCTTTCCTGTTTTAAAGGCTAATAAGTGCTAGCGATACGAAGATCAAGATCTTATTTAGTCCTTATTCTATAGGCGTTCTAGATAGAGCCTATGCTTTCTATTAGTATCTGTAGTTGTGGCTTCGAATATCCTAGTAAAACTTAGCTATGATTGTGCCCTCTGACTTGCAATTATAGAATTTATTAAATACAGTCCGCCTCTATATAGTAACATGACTAGGAAGCAGTATCGCCCTCTTTTCTATATAAGGGCTGCCTTTGCGTATGATCGTTCGCTGTGCTGTAACGCTTATAGTGTTATAAGCTCTAAATACATGCTTATCTACCTTTCTAAAGCTATAGACTATTACAAACTATGCTGCTAACAGTGCTAGATAGTGCTTCGTAGCCTTAGGGTGCACAGCAGGCATGTTTGCTTCTAGTATTATCTAGTAGACTTATTTCTCGATAATCTACGCCTTCTAGCACGTAGCTCTGTGGGGCGACTAACTTATTAGCAGCAGCGAGTGCTTTGGAGATAGCGTTAGTAGTATTAATTTGCATCTCTATTGCTTTCCTCTTTCGTTAGTCTGCCTATATTCTCTAAGAGAGAGTTACTAAAGAAGCAAAACTATAGAGCTAGCAGATCGCTTAGGTTATACTACGTAGAGTTTGTAAGATCTATTGCAACTATCTTATTCTTCTAGGCATTAGCTGCTTACCTCTAACTAGTTATTATTATAGCTACTTATTAAGGTTTAGCGTTAAAGGAGAAGCTTCTTTTGCACGCGCAGTAGAACGTTCTCTCGCCTTTAGTAGAATATAGCTTATTGTTATTATTAACTGCGTTCGATATTCTATCGCGTTACCTTCTGCTCGCGCATTTTATACTTCTATCTAGTTCTTGAAGTAAACGTGTCCTATAAGGACAGCGAGCACTATCGCTTACGTTTTACCTATGCCTATAGCGTTAGCAAAGATCCTGCTATTATTAGATAACAACTCTTTAAAGTAGAGGATATATGCGTCTGTAAGCTAGTATAGAGTAAAGTCGCAACTAACCTCTTAACATGCTAGTAGCTTTATTATGCGCTTATTCTAGAGGTTATTAATTAAAACGCTAAAGAATACTGCAGCTAAAGTCTACTCTTCTAGAGTGCAGTGTTCTATTGCCGTCCCTACTCTTATAGAGAGACTGTCTCTCGTTCTAGTTTATTTATTAGCAGAGTAAACAGTAGTTAACTGTCTTCTACAGTAGACTTACTTAGCGTTTAATAAGGCTTTAAGCCTTTCCTTTTGTTCTCTAGCAAGGTCCTTTGCTGTCGTTGCCTCCTTATCCTCTAAGTTATCCTCAGGGTTAATGTCTGAGCTGCTGTCTAAGCAGTAGTCGTCGCTGTCTAGCAGGCTATCTAGCTAAGTCTCGCGCTCTTAAGCTTCTTTCTCCTCTTTCTCTTTTTTAGCCTTAGCTAGCTCCTCTTCGTCCCTAGTCTTCTTAAGCTGCGCTTCCTTTCCTAACTGCTTTCTTTTAGCTAATTAAGCGCGGGCTGCTGCTCTATCTCTCCTGCGTAAGCGCAGGACGTCGCTGCTAGTATCAGAGTCCTCTAAATCTTTATCTTTCTTAGTTCTTCCCCTGCTTGCTTTTACATGTCTGCTGTCTGCTGCCTCAGTCTTACAGCGCTTAAGAGGAGGTCTGTCTAGTATAAGTTTAGAATGTCAGCCTCTCTTCTTAGGTAGTAAGAGCTGTTCTAGTAGTAAGAGCTGTTCTAGTAGTTCGTCAGGTTAGAATGTTACTGCATATAGATATTAGTAGTATATATTTTAGTTTTAAGGGTTCGTGCTATACCTTTATTAGAATCGCCTAGCAGTTTTGTTATCTAGCATAATAGCATTACTGCTCTAAGCCTCCTCAACTTAATATAAGAGTTAACGGTGCCTAGCAAGTCGTCGTCGTCCTTAATAAGCGTTATCGTTAACGCATCTATAACCTAAGAGGTACCTGCTTAGTACTAATCAGAGTACTTAGGTAATAATAAATGCTAGATAAGAGCATCGTACTTAAGGTGCTGGGCTCTAACCTCAAAGTAGTTCTCCTCTAATTTCTGCTAGCTTTCCTTCGTCATTAGCCTAAACATAGGGAATTGTTTAACGATAGAGTAATGCATAGCGTCTACTAAGGCAATATTAGCGTTATTTAAGATAGCCGGCTTAGTAAGTAATGCAACGCTAAACTTATTAGTTATTAACGCTATAGACCTATTAGACACGACAGATAAAGACTGTCGCTACGCTATCTCAGACAGTATCAGCGTTAGCATATTGCTTAGGTCCTCTGTCTTAACCTTAGCGCTGTACTAACGCACCTTAGCTAGCATCATCATCTAGATAGTTTCGGCTGCAGCCTTATAGAAGACTTTAAGTATTTGCGCATTTTGCAGCTGTATATATTTAGCTACTGTAAGCTAGTTCTTTAACGTTAGTGAACGCAAGCTCTTCAGAAGCTGCAATTAGCTCTTTTCTAATTAGATCTTCTCGAGTAGGTCCTTTTTCTTAATATAGCTTATAAGGTCCTCTATAAGTTTAATAACCTCTAAGGTCGTAATTTTATATCCTTCTCTTACATTTGTTTATGATATGCTGTTAGAGCTTATCGTGTTAGCCTTGCTCTTATACTACTCTAGTTGCTTCAGCAGCGCCTATTCTGTGTCGCTATTATCGTCGCTGTTACGTCCGGCTATAATAGCTTCGCGCCTAGAGTAGAAGACAGTTAGCAACTATGTGTAATTATTAGACTGTTGCTGAAAGTGCGTATTAATATATAGATATTGCTTAGGAGGGTGCGCTTACTAATTATAGAGAGTTTAAGCGCAGTTGCAGGTTGTTAATGTAGGAAGCGCGTTATTAACGTAAGAAGCGCGTTGTAGATTTAAGAAGCGCGTTGCTGTGATAGTAGCGATGTAGCAAAACGTATTAGTAGATAAAATAATAATAAAAAGGAATTGCAGCATAATGTGTAAAGAGCTTAGGCTTTAATGCGCGGGGCTTGCAGAAAATATAATGTTGTTATATAGCTAAAAAAGTTGTTGGTTGCGTTGCGTTTGTATGCACTAGGCAAATATGCTAGATGCAGGTAAGATAATAGGTAAGAGTAAGTATAAAGTTAAGCAATAATAATATTTTAACTTAAGAGCCGCTCTGCATAGTAGGCATGCTTTAGTCTAGCAGAACTTAATTATGCTAAACAGGTTGCTTGCTGCAGTCTAGTAACTATTAAGATTTTCTAGGACAGTGCAGCACTGTCTCTTACTATCCTCTGCCTGCTACGGGCCCTGCGCGCAGGGCATTAAGAGGATGCTGCGTAGAGGGATATTAGTTTAGCTTTGTTAAGCTAGTGTGTATCAAACTATAGAGTAATTAGTTTATTCTGCAGTTGTTCGGAGTTAAGGTCAGAGCAGCTTTAAGCTTAATGTTATTTAGATGCAGTGTAGTAGTCGTTGTCTTCGTTAGTCTAGGGCAGTGCAGCACTATCTCTTACCGTCTCTTACTGTCTCTCCTCTCTTACTGCTGCGAGTCCTGCGCGCAGGGCACTAGAAGGATGTTGCGTAGAGAGTATTAGTCTAACTTTGTTAGGCTAGTATGCATTAAACTATAGAGTAATCAGTTTATCCTGCAGTTATCCAGAGTTAAGGTTAGAGCAGCTTTGAGCTTAATATTATTTAGATGTAGTATAGTAGTCGTTGTCTTCGTTAGTCTAGAGCAGTGCAGCACTGTCTCTCGCCGTCCCTATCTGCTACTGCGAGTCCTAGGCGCTAGGTATTAGAGAGTATGTCGCTTAGAGGTTATAAGTCTAGCTTCGTTAGGCTAGTAGGCATTAAATTATACATTTGTTACTCTGTCTAGCCGTCGTTTAAAGTCAGAGTCTAAGTACCTTTTAAGCATAATGTTGCGTAGAAGTTATATAGGATCTAAGGGCCTTATTAGTTCGGAGCGGTGCAGCACTGTCCCTCGCTGTCCCTATCTGCTACTGCGAGTTCTAGGCGCTAGGTATTAGAGAGTATATTGCTTAGAGATTATAAGTCTAGCTTCGTTAGGCTAGAGGGCATTAAATTATACATTTATTACTCTGTCTAGCTGTCGTTTAAAGTTAGAGTCAGAGTATGTTTTAAGCATAATATTACTTAGAAGTTATGTGGGGATTTAAGGGCCTTATTAGTTAGAAGCAGTGCAGCACTGTTCTTTACAGTCCTCCTCTGCTATCATAACTCCTAGGCGCTAGATACCTAAGAGGACAGCGCATAGAGGGCACGAGTCTAGCTTTGCTAGGCTAGTAGGCATTAAATTACACATTTGTTGCTCTGTCTAGCTATCGTTTAAAGTTAGAGTCTAAGTACCTTTTAAGCATAATGTTGCGTAGAAGTTGTGTGTAATCTAAGGGCCTCGTTAGTTAGAAGCAGTGCAGCACTGTCTCTTATAGTTCTCCTCTGCTATTATAACTCCCAGGCGCTAGATACCTAAGAGGACGGTGCGTAGAGGTCATAAGTCTAGCTTTGTTAGGCTAGTAGGCATTAAACTATAGATTTATTGCTTTGTCCTGCAACTGCTAGAAGCAGGCAATAGGGCGACTTTAAGCTCAGGCGTCATACTATGACTTAGACACTACAGTTTTAGTAGCAATGTTATGTATATTAGGTTAGTTTACGCAGTTAGAGGGAGGCTAGCAACTATTGCGTTGTAAAGAGGAGCTTAGTAGTATTACGATAGTTCGATTAGAGCCGGAACCTACGCAGATGTTATCTTAGAGGAACACGTTAGCATTATAAGGGACAAAGAATATTACATTATGCTATTTTTATACCGTGTAGTAGTAGAGGCGATGCGCGATGTTGAGAAAGCATCGTCGCTTCGTTAGAAGGGAGAGATAGAGGTTTGCTATAGACAGACGTAGCGGCTGATAGAGCGTTAGTGTAGACTGCGTCTGTGCGTACGCCTCGCAAGCACTATCTTACCTAGAAACTATAATAACCTAGTATTTTTCGTAACTTAACTTAAGGCATTAGGCGTCGTAACTGCTACGTATTGTATTTAACTCCTAGGATAATGTTAATAAACTTGTTAGAACTGTTAAGAGGATAGTCTTGCATGCGACTTAACTGTCTTTAACTATTAACTCTTCTTTCTAGCTACTTACTTTGTCTATATATACTGCTGCGCTGTTTAAGTTTACTCTTACTTACACAATATAGCAACGAGCAGTACTATTGCTCAGCGTTTAACACTAAATATAAGAAGTCGTCTAGTATAACGTTAACGTGTTGTAAAGATATTTAGATTATAATTAACTAAGCACGTGTTTCAAAGCGCCTCTAATATGCGATAACTACATCTGCATTTCTTGCAGTATAAATCTAGCGCTATTACTTAACCTGCAAGAGGC